TAATCCTTGAGTAACACTAACCACCTACTCTGTTTGAGATTAAGCTCTTTCTGACTAAACACATACTGAAGACTCTAATGATCGGTGAACAAATCTACATGAACACCTTAAAGGTAGTGACACTATATTTTCAAAGCAAATACTACGACAGCCAACTCTAGATCATGGGTTGGGTAATTCTTCTCATGAACTTTCAACTGTCTGGAGGCATAAGCTATAACTTTACCATTCTGTATTAACACACAACCCAAATGAACTCTAGACGTATCACAATATACAACAAAGCCTTGCGTACCTTCTGGTAAGGTTAATACTAGGGCAGTAGTCAACCTCTTTTTTAATTCAGACTATTGAAATTTCATTATTTTCTGAGTCAACTTGGTCAAAGAGGATGAAATAGATGAGAACTCCTCTGCGAACCTTCTATAATATCCAGCCAACCCCAAGAAACTTCTAATATCAGTTGGAAATATGGATCTAGGCCAATTCTGCATTGCCTCTATCTTCTGGGTATCAACTCTAATTCTATCATCGAAAACAATGTGGCCTAAGAATGCCACAGACTCAAGCCAAACCTCACATTTATAGAACTTAACATACAACTCTCTATCATTTAGAGTTTGGAGAACTATTCAGAGATGACTAGCATGATCTTTCTCATTCCTCGAATAGATTAGTATGTCATCAATGAACACGATAACAAACATATCTAAATAAGACTTGAATACTCTATTCATAAGGTCCATGAACGCTGCAGGCACATTAGTTAAATCTAACGACATGACTAGAAACTCACAATGACCATAACGGGTCCTGAAAGCTGTCTTTGGAATATCACATTCCCTTACCCTCAACTGATGGTAGCCAGATCTAAGGTCTATTTTAGAGAAACAAGTAGCGCCCCGAAGTTGATCGAAGAGATCATCAATTCTCAGAGAAGGATACTTATTCTTGATAGTAACCTTGTTCAACTGGCGGTAATATATAGATATTCTAAGAGAACCATCCTTCTTTCTCATAAATAAGACTGGAGCGCCCCAAGGTGAGACACTTGGTCGAATAAAACCTTTCTCTAGGAGATATTTCAACTTCTCTTTTAACTCTTTCAACTCTGATGGTGACATTCTATATGGCGGAATAGATATAGGATGAGTATCAGGAAGAATATCTATACCGAAGTCTATTTCTCTCTCAGGAGGGAATCCGGGAAGAACATCTGAAAAGACTTTTGGGAACTCTTTTGCTACTGGAACTGACTGAATACAAGGTATCTTAACACTAGAGTCATTAACTCAGACTAAGTGATAGATACACCCCTTGGAAACTAACTTTCTCGCCTTAAGGTACGAAATAAAATGACCCTTAGGCACTGTTGAACTACTCTTCCACTCTATAATTGGCTCATTAGGACACTGGAGCTTGGCAACTCCAGTTCTACAATCAACTGAGGCGTAATAGACATAAAACCAGTCTATACCAACAATGACATCAAAATCTACCATGTCTAACTCAACTAAATCGGCCATGGTACTCTTGTGATTAACGAAAATGGTACAATCATGATAAACTTTCTCTGCTATAATAGACTCACCAACATGTGTAGAAACACTGAAGGGCTCACTAAGTTTCGCAGGAAGAACATCAAAATTTATGGCAACATAAGGAGTTACAAAGGATAAACTCGCTCCTGGATCTAGCAAAGTACAAACATCAAAGTTAGTAACACTCTAGAACTAGTAGACTAAGCTAGAGCTTGATGTTAGGGTTAGAGCCTTGAAAACACCTTCTCGTACATTAAAAATCATGTATTCGTGTTAGAACGTCAAGGCCTAAACCCCAAGGACCAACCTTGGGTCCTAGAGGAAAAGACCTACAGGTCTACCAGGCACTGACCCACGAACGGCACCCACGCCTTGTGGATCAACCCATGGCCCCGTAGGGCGGCGCGTGGGTGAGGCCTTTTTGGAATCTGCCCAAGGCAGTAGCCACGGGCAGGACTCACGCCTCATGGATGGGTCCACGCCACGCGACTTGCATCCGTAGGTCAAGCCCCTAAATTTAGGTCCCAGTTCCTCGACCCATGTTTGACCAGAACAGGCTGTGGGACTAGTCACGGTCTGTAGGTGAGGGGATCATGGGTCACACATGGAAGGCAACTTTTGGGGATTAGTTGAGGGGTAGTTTAAAATTTTCCATTTTAATTAACTATTAAGTGACGTCATTTTGTATTAGACCAAGTGTATAAGTGTTTTAAGCCCTAAACTAAGTCACAAAATCATAACTACCCAAATTCCCAAAGTCAACCAACTCCCTCTCCAATATTTCTCTCACTAAAACCTCCATTGAAGAAGAAGAAGTAGAAGTCTAGAGTACAAGGACTCATCTTTTCCACACAATTTCATGGAGAATCTTCATAAGGTATCGTGGGTTTTCATCTATGGGTTGCCTTCACCCATATACTTCCTTCAAAACTTGATTTCAAAGCTTCCAATTTCCCCAAAAGCTAGGGTTTCAATCTAAGTCATGGGTTTTCTGTCAAACATTTTCAATGGTTGATTTATGATGGATTATGATTGAATTGATGATTTATTGTTGATTTATGATGAAATCCCCCCAAGAACCCATAAATCCCCCATATTACTAAATTGAGATTTCATGATGTGGGTTGATTGATTATAGAAGCATGTCAATTGATTATGTCTATTTTCATTGAGTTTATTGAATAGTGAAATTCTCCATATCTAATGTAGTAATTCTAGATGTTTGGGTTGAATGTTAGTCATGGTCCTTGAAGGGCAAATTAATAGGTTTTGCACATGTTTATGAGAATTGTGTATGAGCTTATGCTTCACTTCGAAAGTGAAGATTCTATGACTATGGTGTAATTGTGGTATTGATTAAAGATCATTCTCCCCATACCCTTACACGTGACTATGCATGAAATGTCTATGACTATGATAATGTTGTTGTGTTGATTGAAAGGCGATTCTCAAGAACACACTATGAACATGATGTGAAAGGTTTACTCACATATTAATGATTCTAAGGTTGAAAGGCCATTCTCACCTAATGGGTCTAGTAGCTATCATGATACCATGTTGGTTTGAGTGATTGGGCTATTTTTCATGAACACGAACCTAAGTTAAGACCACCGAGTGGATATGATTATGAGATGGAAGCTTTTATGCCAGTTAGTCCGGCTTCCCAATGGGGTCCTTTTACGCCAGTCAGTCCAGGTTCCCAAAACAGTTAGCTCATGAGATGGAAACCTTTTACCTCAGTTAGTTCGGGTTTCTAGTATCAAGTTCCTTATCCCATAACTATGTGACCATATAGGTCTTTAGCTAGTGGATCCACCTAAGCTAACAAACTAGTTCTACTTTAGGAAAGTAGGACACCTCTTTTCGGTGTGGGGCAGTACACCAGATTCCATGTAGCTCACATGGTCGATGTCGGTTAAGGTTATTTCCCTACATGAAAATAATATGAACTATGATATGAACATGAACATGAACTATACTTATGACTTCTCAATGAGCTTTACTTAGTGTGAGTGGTGGTATGGGACTTCACTTATACTTTGCACAAGCAAAATTTGAAAGGGGTTATGGTGTGGTTTCCTTATGCTATGAAGATATATGAATTTATGCATGTTTGATATGGATTGTTGCTAAGAGTGACTTTACTTACTACAAGCTATCAACATGAATGTTTCCTTGTCTATGATTATTGGCTATGGATGAGGTCAAGGTATAATATGCATCATTATGGTGGCCTAAAAGTGGTACCTAATATTAGATAGGATTATGAGATCTTGTTTATGCATTGCACAAGTATAGCTTAGGGTTGCTTATGAAATGGTTTGACTTATGTAATTATGCTATTGTGCATAGTGATTCTTAAAGTTGATTAAGAGCATGGTTTCAACTAAATTCTCCCTTTTAATATGTTTTAAGGATTTTTATGCATGGCTTCTATACTTAGTGCAATTTTGTACTAACCCATATTTTCCACATTTTTCTATAAGTGTAAGGCCCGGTTATTGAGGTGTGCTTCCTTCTTGATCAAAAGCTTGGATTGACTATTCTCCATGCTTTCGGTGAGTCCTCATGGTTCGAGGATGAAAGTTGTCATTTCTAGTTTCTTCTTACATTTTCGTTTGAGACTATGTTGTAAAAGGGTTGTGACCCTTATTGATTCTCGATTGTATTATATGGTTAATAAGACAATGTCTAGACTTCTATTTTGATTTTATGAAAAGACTTCCATTGTCAAAAGTTTTAATTATGCATCATTTCTATTACTTATGTTTATGATATGCTAAGGGCTTGTATGAGACCCCTTCGGGGTTGAGTACGCTGTGTTACATCTAGGGGGTACTCCTGGGTCGTGACAAAGCTGGTAATCATAGCACAAGGTTTAGAATGATTCTAGGATGATGTCTCATAAACCACGTCTAGTAGAGTCTTGTTCATAAGTTTGAAGTGCGCCAAATTTATGAATAAGAGGCTATAATATTCTTAGGAAATTCCACTTCTTTCATTACTCTTTAGTCGTGACTTAGAGTTTTAACTTTATGAAGTCCTTTTCCTAACCCTTCTCTTGTGTCTATAGGATATGAATACAAGAAGGGCGAACACAAGAAGGATGGAAGAGTAGAATGTGAATGTGGAAATAATGTTGGCTCTCCAAATATTGACTAAAGCTGTGACAACTCAAGCCCAAGCCATGACGGCTCAAGCTAATAGAAAGGTTGTTGCTCCGGCTCATCGAAATGTGAATTCGGCCACTTCAAGGATTAGGGACTTTGCTAGGATGAACCCCCCCTCCCCCATGGTTCCAAAGGGGGAGAGGATCCTCATGAGTTCGTGGAAGAAGTTTGCAAGATAATATATATTATGGGAGTGACTTTGGTACAAAAAGCAGAACTAGCCGCCTACCAATTGAAGAGTGTTGCTCAAGTTTGGTATAAGCAATGGAAATACAATAGGTCGGTAGGAATGTGTCCCATAGAGTGGGAAGTGTTCAAATCCGCAGTTCTTGCTAGATACTTTCCCCGGGAATTGATGGACGCTAAGGTTGAGGAATTCATCTACCTTCGTCAAGGGAACATGAGTGTGAAAGACTGCTCACACAAATTCACTCAATTGTCCAAGTATGCTCCATCTTTAGTGTCAAGTCCAAGAGATGAAATGAGTAGGTTCTTAACGGGTGTGTCCGACTTGATTGAAGAAGAATGTCGTGCAACAATGCTCCATGATAATATGGATATCTCACGTCTAATGGTGTATGCTTAACAAGTTGAGGAGTCAAGACTTAGGAAGAAGAATAGGGAAGTGAAGAGAGCAAGGATCGATGATGGGAATTCTTCCAAGGGTAAATCTGAGGGTCAAGGACAACCAAGGTTCAAGAGAAGGTTCTCCAACCATAGCTCATCTAGTGCTCCAAGGGTCAATAACGCTAGGGTGTCTAACCCTAAGCCTCAAGGAGGATATAGTGGTGGATCTTCTATGGTGAGGCCTATTTGTTCCAAGTGTGGCAAGAAAAATGATGGTAAGTGCCTAGTTGGCACGAATGGTTGCTATTGTTGTGGGAAGAGAGGTCATATGATGAGGAATTGTCCCATGCTTAAGAATCAAGTAAGAGAGGGCAAGCAAGTACCTCCTAGTATTTCAAATTCCGATGCTCCCAAGAAGAACCACTTCTATGCTCTTCAATCCCGAGGTGACCAAGAGAGCTCCCCAAATTTAGTGACCGGTATATTACAAATCTTTTCTATTGATGTATATGCATTGTTAGATCCCAGTGCCAACTTGTCCTTTGTGACACCTTTTGTGGCCATGAAATTTGAAATACTCCCTGAAGTGTTAATAGAGCCTTTTTCGGTTTCTACCTCGGTTGGTAATTCGGTGGTGGCAAAAAGAGTCTATTGCAGTTGTCCTATTTCTTTTTCCCATAAAGTTACCTTGGCGGATTTGGTGGAGTTAGATATGTTATATTTTGATGTGATTTTGGGTATGGATTGGTTGCATGCATGTTATGCCTCTATTGATTGTAGGACTCAGGTAGTAAAGTTTCAATTCCTAAATGAGTCTATTCTAGAGTGGAAGGGGGGAAACTCTATCCCTAGAGGTCAATTTGTCTCTTGTGTCAAAGTTAGGAAAATGATATCCAAAGGGTGTATTTACCATCTTGTTAGGGTTATGGATGTTGAGTCCAAAACCCCTCCTCTAGAGTCAGTTCTGATAGTGAATGAGTTTCTGGATGTTTTTCCCGATGATTTGCCCGGTATTCCTCCCTAGCCAGAAATAGACTTTGGTATTGATCTTCTACCGGATACACACCCTATCTTCAGTCCTCCTTATAGAAAGGCTCCGACCGAGTTGAAAAAGTTAAAGGAGCAATTGAAGGATTTACTAGACAAGGGTTTTATTCAACCGAGTATCTCTCCATGGGGTGCTCCGGTATTATTTGTTAGAAAGAAGGATGGGTCCCTTAGAATGTGTATTTACTACCGCCAATTGAACATGGTGACCATAAATAATAAGTATCCCCTTCCTAGAATTGACGACTTGCTTGACAAACTTCAAGGGGCTAGTTACTTTTCCAAGATTGATCTACGTTTAAGCTATCACCAATTAAGGGTGAGAGGGGTTGACATTCCCAAGACGGCCTTCCAAAGAATATCTGCTCACTATGAGTTCCTAGTAATGTCCTTTGGTCTAACTGATGCCCCGGAGGCATTTATGGACCTAATGAATAGAGTGTTTAGACACTCCCTTGATATGTTTATGAACGTGTTTATTGATGATATTTTGATCTATTCAAGGAGTGAAAATGAGCATATGAATCATTTGAGGATTGTATTGCAAGTCCTTAAAGACCACCAATTGTATGCAAAGTTTAGTCAATGTGAGTTTTGGCTAAGGTCTGTAGCCTTCCTTAGTCATATTGTGTCGAGCAAGGGTATTAAGGTGGATCCTAAGAAGATGGATGCGGTCAAAGGTTGGCCTAGACCTCTAACTCCTACCGACATTAGAAGCTTTTTGGGTTTGGCCGGTTACTATAGGAGGTTTATTGAAGGTATTTCCTCCATTGCTTCTCCGTTGACGGCTTTGACTAAAAAAAAAGCTAAGTTTGTGTGGTTGGAGGCTTGTGAGAAAAGCTTCCAAGTGTTGAAAGATATACTTACTTCTGCTCCGGTGTTGACTTTACTGGAGGGTACCGATGGCTTTGTTATGTATTGTAACGCCTCTCGAGTGGGTTTGGGATGTGTCCTTATGTAACATGGTAAAGTGATTGCCTATGCTTCAAGGCAACTCAAGTTCCATGAAAAGAATTATCCAACCAATGATCTCGAATTAGCGGAGGTGGTAGTTGCCTTCAAAATATGGAGGCATTATCTATATCAGGTGCATGTTGATGTGTTCACTGATCACAAGACTCTTCAATATGTGTTTAGCCAAAACTACTTGAATCTCCGACAAATAAGGTGGTTAGAACTTTTGAAGAATTATGACATGAGCGTCCTTTACCACCCCGACAAAGCGAATGTAGTTGCGGATTCCCTTAGTAGATTGTCCATAGGTAGTGTGGCTCATGTAGAGGATTAAAAGAAAGAATTGGTTCGTGATGTGCATAGGTTGGCCCGGCTAGGTGTTCAACTAGTGGATTCCACCGAAGGTGGTGTCATGGTCCATAGTGGTTCCAAATCATCCTTTGCGATGTACATGAAGTCTAAACAAGAAATTGATCCCATATTAGTTGAGTTGAAAGAATCAATACTCAACAAGTCCGTTGAGGCTTTATCCCAATGGGGAGATGGAGTGCTTAGGTACCAAGGTCGTTATGTGTCCCGGATGTTGATGGCTTGAGAGAGAAAATTCAAGAAGAAGCTCATGGTTTGCGGTATTCTATTCATTTGGGAGTCACCAAGATGTATCGTGATCTACGGGAACTCTATTGGTGGAATGGTATGAAGGATATAACGGGTTTTGTTGCCAAGTGTCCGAATTGTCAATAAGTTAAGGCCGAGAACCAAAGGCTGGGAGGCTTGTCCCAAGATATAGATATTCCCACATGGAAGTGGGAGGATGTGAATATGGATTTTATTGTGGGTTTTCCTCGTACTCGAAGGCAACATGATTTTATTTGGGTCATTGTGGATAGAATGAAAAAATCAGCCCACTTTATTCCTGTCAAGGTTTCCTTTTCGGCGGAAGACTATGCCAAATTGTACATCAAGGAGATAGTGAAGTTGCATGGGGTTCCTTTATCTATTATTTCGGATTGAGGTACTCAATTTACTTCACACTTTTGGAATACATTCCAAAAAGGGTTAGGTACTAAGGTTAAGCTTAGCACGACTTTTCATCCCCAAACCGATGGTCAAGCGAAACGTACCATCCAAACCTTAGAGGATATGTTGAGGGCGTGTGTTATAGACTTCAAAAGTAATTGGGATGACCATCTACTGTTAGTAGAGTTTGCCTAGAACAATAGTTACCACTCAAGTTTTGTCATGGCTCCTTTTGAAGCATTGTATGGCAGAAGATGTAGGTCTTCGGTTGGTTGGTTTGAAGTAGGTGAAATTGCTCTAATTGGTCTCGAACTAGTTTATGAGGCCATTGAGAAAGTCCAACTCATTAGAGAGAGGTTGAGGAAGGCCCAAAGTTCGCAAAAGTCTTATGCCGATGTTAGAATGAGGGATCTAGAATTTGAAGTTAATGATTGGGTCTAATTGAAAATCTCACCTATGAAGGGTGTGATGAGGTTTGGCAAGAAAGGGAAACTTAGTCCCCGGTATTTAGGCCATATCAAATCTTCAAATGTGTTGGGAAAGTTGCCTATGAGTTAGACTTGCCGAATGAGTTGGCTCCGATTCATCCGGTATTTCATGTTTCTATGCTCAAGAAGTGTATTGGTGACCCGGTATCCATCATTCCCTTATAAGAGTTGGGAATTGATTAGAGCCTTTCCTATGAAGAGGTTCAGGTAGATATCTTAGACTGGCAAGTCAAAAGGTTATGAAGCAAGAAAATAGCTTTTGTAAAGGTTTTATAAAGGAATCATTTAGTTGAGGGTGCTACATGGGAGGCCGAGGCCGATATGAAGTCCCGCTATCCTCATATTTTTCCTTCTACTCCTATCCAAGCTTGAGGTAAATAGCCTCTCTTGAGTTTGGTGTTTTGGAAAGTCATATGTGCTATATGTGTTCTACATGATTTTCCTTATGATATGCATGTTCTTGTGAGAATTCATGTATAAAATGAGTTTTCATGATTTATATGTTCCTCATGTTGTTGTGAATTTTAGTATGATGATTGCATATTTGACTGCACGAGATGATTTGATGAACATGCTTTGATATGCTTTTGATGAAATGGCATGTTGGCTCCATATTGTTGTGTTGAGCTTGCTTTGAGTGGAGAAGGTAGTTCCTCCTATGTCTATGAGAATTGAGGAGTTTTGTGCATAATGGGTTGTGGATGTAGCTCCCACTTCCTTGTGTTGCAATGATTGTGTCTTCAGATGAAGTTGATGTTTTCTCCCTTGAATTGTGCATTACTTTGATGTTGCATGCATGATGGGCTGCTAGTCTTGAGTATTTACTTCCGTAAGGTATCTAAATCATCATTTGAGGATGAATGTTCCCAAGGGGGAGATAATGTAACACTCCGGAACTAGTAGACTAAGTTAGAGCTTGACGTTAGAGTTATAGCCTTAAAAACACCTTCCCATACCTTAAAACTCATGTATTCGTGTTAGAACGTCAAGGCCTAAACCCCAAGGACCAACCTTGGGTCCTTGAGGAAAAGACCTATAGGGCTGCCAGGCAATGACCCACGAAAGGCACCCACGCCTTGTGGATCAACCCACGGCCCCGTAGGGGGGGGGCAGCGTGGGTGAGGCCTTTTTGGTATCTTCCTAAAGCAGTAGCCACGGGCAGGACCCATGCCTCGTGGATGGGTCCATGCCACGTGTCTTGCATCAGTAGGTAAAGCCCCCAAATTCAGGTCCCAGTCCTTCGACCCATGTTTGACCAGAACGGGTCTTGGGCCCAATCATAGTCTGTAGGTGAGGGGATCGTGGGTCACATCTCTAAGGCAACTTTTGGGGATTAGTTGAGGGGTAGTTTAGGATTTTCCATTTTAATTAACTATTAAGAGACTTAGTTTTGTATTATTTTAGACCAAGTATATAAGTGTTTTAAGCTCTAAACTAAGTTACAAAATTATAACTACCCAAATTCCCAAAGTCAACCAACTCCCTCTCCAATATTTCTCCCACTAAAACCTCCATTGAAGAAGAAGAAGAAGCTGAAGTCTAGAGTACAAGGACTCATATTTTCCACTCAATTTCGTGAGGAATCTTCATAAGTTATGGTGGATTTTCATCTATGGTTAGCCTTCACTCATAGAGTCTCTTTAAAACTTGATTTCAAAGCTTCCAATTTCCCCAGAAGCTAAGGTTTCAATCTAAGTCATGGGTTCTCTTTCAAAATGTTTTCAATGGTTGATTTATGATGGATTATGATTCAATTGAGGATTTATTGTTTATTTATGATGAAATTCCCCCAAGAACCCATGAATCCCCCATATTACTAAATTGTGATGTCATGATGTGGGTTGATTGATTATAGAAGCATGCCAATTGATTATGTCTATATTGATTGAGTTTATTGAATCGTGATATTCTCCATATCTAATATAGTAATTCAAGATGTTTGGGTTGAATGTGATTCATGGTCCTTGAAGGGAAAATTATGAGGGTTTGTACATGTTTATGAGAATTGTGATGAGCTTATGATTCACTTAGAAAGTGAAGATTCTATGACTACGGTGTAATTGTGGTATTGTTGAAAGATCATTCTCTCCATACCCTTACACATAACTATGCATGAAATGTCTATGACAATGATAATGTTGTTGTGTTGATTGAAAGATTATTCTCATGAACACAGTATGAACATGATGTGAAAAGTTTACTCACATATTAGTGATTCTAAGGTTGAAAGGACATTCTCACCTAATGAATCTATGAGCTATCATGATACCACGTTGGTTTGAGTGCTAGGGCAGTCTTTCATGAACATGAACCTAAATTAAGACTTAACATGAATAATAAAGGAAATTATGCTTAGCACCGAATGGATATGATTATGAGATTGAAGCTTTTACGCCAGTTAGTCCGGCTTCCCAATGGGTTCCTTTTACGCCAGTCAGTCTGGGTTCCCAAAATAGTTATATCATGAGATGGAAACCTTTTACCTCAGTTAGTCCAAGTTTATAGTAGCAATCTCCTTATCCCATAACTATGTGCCCATATAGGTCTTTAGCTAGTCGATCCACCTATGCTAACAAACTAGTTCTACCTTAGGCAAGTAGGAAACCTCTTTTCAGTGTGGGGGCAGTACATCGGATTCCATGTAGCTCACATGGTATATGTCGTTTAAGGCAATTTCCCTACATGACAAAAATATGAACTACGATATGAACATAAACATGAACTATACTTATGAGTTCTCAATGAGCTTTACTTAGTGTGAGTGGGGGTGTGAGACTTCACTTATACATTGCCTAAGTAGACTTTGAAAGGGGTTATGGTGTGGTTTCCTTATGCTATAAAGATATATTAATTTATGCATGTATGATATGGATTGTTGCTAAGAGTGACTTTACTTGCTACAAGCTATCAACATGAATGTTTCCTTGTCTATGAGTGTTGGCTATGGATGAGGTCAAGGTATAATATGCATGATTATGGTGGCCTAAAAGTTGTACTTAGTATTAGATAGGATTATGGGAGCTTGTCTATGCATTGCACAAGTATAGCTTAGAGTTGCTTATGAAATGGTTTGACTTATGTATTTACACTATTGTGCATAATGATTCTTAAAGTTGATAAAGAGCATGGTTTCAACTAAATTGTCTATTTTAGCATGTTTTAAGGATTTTTATGCATGGCTTCCATATTTAGTGCAATTTTGTACTAACCCATATTTTCTACATTTTTCTATAAGTGTAGGGCCCGATTGTTGAGGTGTGCTTCCTTCTTGATCAAAAGCTTGGATTGACTATTCTCCATGCTTTCGGTGAGTCCTTATGGTTCGGGGATGAAAGTTGTCATTTCTAGTTCCTTCTTACATTTTTATTTGAGACTATATTGTAAAAGGGTTGTGACCCTTATTGATTCTCGATTGTATTAGATGATTAATTAGACAATGTCTAGACTTCTATTTTGATTTTATAATAAGACTTCGATTGCAAAAAGTTTTAGTCCTGCATCATTTCTATTACTTATGTATATGATATGCTAAGGGCTTGTATGAGACCCCTTCGGGGTCGAGTACGCCGTGTTACATCTAAGGGGTGCCCCGGGTCATGACAAAGTTAAAGACTTACATCATACCAGTGACAACATTTGGCGAATCCTCTTGCTCTTGGCGACTAGTGATAGCGTAAAAACGGTTTGATCCTTCGCCTGCCCCTGAAGTAGCTCCTCTAGATGCAACTCTGTCTAGTGTAGCAACTGAAGAAGATTGGGCTCAATTGCCCCCATTACTGTTACCCTGCATGTTCATAGGACACTCTATCATAAAATGACCATTCTGACCACACTTGAAGCAACTAGTGGAGCCATCACGACACATCCCTGAGTGGCTCCTACCACACTTAGCACATGCATGAGGCTTACTACCCTCTTGTGCCATACTACCTTGAGAATAGGTAGGTTTAGCTCTAAAATTTTGACTATTGTACTCACCTTTGTTCTTTGGTGCATGTGCCCTAGAAGATGATGGAGCATGTCCCTTTTGTTTCTGTTGGAAGGATGAGTGGTTGTCATTACTCTTCTGCTGCCTGGACTCATTCCCTTATGTTTATGCACTCTAAGCTCATTTTTGAAAAAAATAATATATGATCCCTTAATAATAAATAAAAATTGATTATTAATTGTAGCCTTCATTTTATTTTAATTAAATCTTAAGAAGTGACTATCAAATTATTTTCATTTTTCATCCTTCAACTTATTTTCTCTAAATTTGTCTTGCAGGTAATTAACATATGAGATAAGAATATACATATGCTAATTTGTGTTTATAATTATTGTATTTCAAAGTACTAAGTATTATCATCCAAGAGTAGGTTCCAAATATTTGAACTATTTTTTTGTTTGAAAATGAATGATATTCATGTAATTTAATTATAAAACTATTTTTAATACAATGATAATTTGAAACATTTTATGTCAATTTAAATGGATACACGTGCAATATACGTGTGCAGAAAATTGTATATATATATATATATAAATATATAAAAGGGCTAGAGAGTGGATCTAGCTTCAATTAATGAATTTCTGATGATCCGTCTTATTACAGACTTCATTGAGTTGAGCCTATATGCATTACCACATTAGACCTATTGATGACATGACACCTTTTTGACCAAGTTTGATAATGAAAAAGTAAACTAGATGAAATGAACCAAGTTCACTAACTGGAATGAGTGAACATAGTAAAGCAAAAACAAGCGGGAATAAAACACTTATTAAAGGAAGAGGAATTCTCAGAAGGAAATTAGTCAAAACAAAGTGGAGAATTGCTTTCCTTGTAGGACTTGACTAGAGTTTCATAAACTCCTATAAAAGGACAATTGAAACATGAGAATCACGACTTTTGCAATTCACAAATCAAGAGAATTTTGCAGCAAGAGCAAGTGAAGGTGCTGAAAGAGTTAGAAACATGACAAAATTGAAGAAAGAAGAACTAGAGTTAGGTTTTCTTTCTAAAACTTAGTTTGTGTTATTTCAACTTAGAATCATTATTTAGAGATAATTGTTATAAGTGTGAAAGTGAGTTTGTGAGGTTTTGTAACATGAAGTGGATTTTACTTCTTGGAGATTAAAGTTAATCGTTGAACAATTTGAGTGAACTACTGAGGTGAGGTACTAGAGTTAGCCCCTTTGATTATAGAATTGTAATCTAAAAGTTGCTCTTTGAAGTTGGTGAAGTTTGGTGAAATCCAGCAAGCTGTAGGTCGTAGTTTTACTTCCCTTGAGCATAAAGTTTTTTCATGATTCTTGTTTAGCTGGTCTAGGTTTCTTCACCTATCAATCACATAAAGTGCATGAATTAAATTATTACCCAACTTACAATTGAGCTCACATTTATGAACTATCATCAAATCTGAAAATTTAAAGCATCAATAATTTAACCCCATAATTATCTATATTACAACACGCATGATTGTTTTGTGATATAGAACACTTTTCTTCAATTTGATCCTTTTTGTGGCTTTATTATATTGTTTATGAATTGAAGGAATGGGTGATGTAATTTTTGAGGTGATCGGGTGCGTTTTAAAGAGATTTTATTTTATGAAAGTTTGTAAATGAGAAGTTTGACTAAAATTTATATTCTGGATTAATGAGTTTGGGTTCAAGTTTTGACAATTCCATTAGGTTCCAAAGGTGATTTATGACTGGGTGATATTTTTAGCATAGATCCTAAGGGGTCGTGGAGTGGCTTGAGTTATTCATTAGAATTCTAGTTGATTTAAAGATTTAGAGTTGAAAAATATCAACGTATGGTAAAGATTACCTCATATCGATGATTTGATAATTCCAACAGATTCATAATGCATTTTAAGAGTAGTTAACATGTTTGATTTGTATACGGTGAGTCTTGAATGAGTTTCAGGTGTTAAAACTAAGATTGCATCACACCAATTTTTTCTGGTATGTTGGTAATGGTGGTTCGTCTCCGTGTTCACTATAGGACCATCAAGATTATATGCGTAAAAGGAATTCAAAGTTGGGTTGAGGTTGTTCATCGCATTTGTAATCATAATATCATGTTTACAAAGGTCTGATTTGAGTCATCTAGTCACGATTCTAAGACCTGAGTTAGGAAAACTAATGCATAAACATAATTAAGAAGCTAGTTTGAAACCATTTTTCATAACTCGATTTTTTTGGAGTTAGAGACATCAAATTTTGGAGATGTCAACGGTTTTTTAATGATATGACTCAAGGTTAAGATATTTACTTAATTTTGGTATTTTTGTATTGTTGCATCATTTGTTTATCACTATAATTCATGTTTGGATAGTAGAAATTGAAGATTATTGTCTTATATCTAGAAAATGTATTTCTTGTACTTGAAGGTTGATGCATACTTAGTTTTTAATTGTAACATCCCGAATTTGAAAGAGGGCAGCGTGGCAAAAGTTTAGAAGTTGCAGGTGCCAACCACGAGGGCCAACCATGTACTATTGGGATGTTTCATTTTGCCAAAGCTTTGTGTGACTTGGGGGTAAGTATTAACTTGATGTCGTATGCCATTTTCAAACAACTTGAGCTGGGCAAACCTAAATCCACAACTATGCATCTTCTTATGGAGGACTGATCTATTAAGCACCCCATTGGAATACTTTATGATATCTTGGTGAAAGTGGATAGGTTCATTTTTTCAGCCGACTTTGTTATTTTGGATTGTGAGATTGATATTGAGGTGCCTATTATATTTGGTAGGGCTTTTTTGGCTACCGAAATAGCACTTGTGGATGTTGAAAGTGGTGAACTGAAATTTTGGGTAAATGACGAGGAAGTTACTTTCAATGTGTGCGAATTGATAAAGCATGTGGTTTCAACTCTTGATGTGATTGATAAGGCAGTGGCTAGTGTATGTGATGTGTTTTGTATGGGGGAACCTTTTGCAGATGTCCTTTCAAATTATGATGAGGAGGGAGTTCAAGGTTATGATGAAGTTGTGGCTGCTTTATCGGGGTTAGGTTCCTACTCCAAGAATCCATTGAAGCTCGACTTTGACCTCAAAAATCGAAAAACTCCCCCCCCGCTAAACCATCCATTGAAGAACCACCAAAGCTTGAGTTGAAAGTTCTCCCGTCCCACCTTCGGTATGTATATTTGGGGGAAAGTAACACCTTGCCCGACATCACTGCTGCACATTTGCTTGAGTGGCAAGTGAAATTACTTGTTGATGTGTAGAAATGGTATATTAAAGCTATTGGATGGACAATTGTTGATATTGTGGGGATTCCTCCTAGAATTTGCACTCATATAATACAATTGGATAGTGGATGTAAACCAAGCGTGGAACATAAAAAGAGATTAAACCCATCAATGCAAGAAGTGGTGAAGAAAGAAATCATCAAATGGATCGATGTGGGTGTGGTATACCCCATGTCGGATAGCAAATGGGTGAGTCCCGTGCAATGTGTACCAAAAAAGGAGGAATTACGGTAGTTCCAAATGAAAAGGGGGAACTTGTACGTATAAGGCCGGTCACTGGGTGGCCAGTATGCATAGACTATCGAAAATTGAATGTATGGACTGAAAAAGACCATTCTTATGCTATTCATGGACAAAATGCTTGATAGGCTTGCGGGGCATGTATGGTATTGCTTTTTAGACGGTTATTCCGGGTAAAACCAAATTTCCATTCCATCGGAAGATCAAGAGAAGACTACTTTTACATGTCCTTATGGAACTTTTACCTTCAAGAGAATGCCTTTTGGGTTGTGCAATGCTCTGGCAACATTCCAACGATGCATGCTTTCTATTTTCTCTAATATGGTTGAAGACTCAATGGAGGTTTTCATGGATGATTTCTTTGTTTTTGGTGATTCATTTGAAGCATGTCTTGAACACGTTAGGTAGGTACTACAAAGGTGCGTAGAAACCAATCTTGTGCTAAATTGGAAGAAATTTCATTTCATGGTGAAAAAGGGGATTGTTTTGGGACATAAAATTTCAGGAGAAGGAATGCAAGTGGATCAAGTTAAAGTCGAAGTCATTGCTAAATTACCTCCTCCTATTTCGGTAAAAGGGGACCAGAGTTTTCTAGGCCATGAGGGTTTCTACAGGCAGTTTATAAAGGATTTTTCCAAAGTAGCACATCTTCTTTGTAAGTTCCTTGAGAAGGAATCTACATTCAACTTTGACGAAGCGTGCCTGTCACGACCCGAGCCTACACCCTGGACATGGCCAGCACTTGAGAACCATTGTTGGTCCCCAAGCGAAGCCTCATCCTGGCTGACTGCAAGTGAAAGACTAACTCACACATACATAAGCTTAAAAATTGAATTAAATTCATTAAACTCCAATAGTGAACTTTAAGAAAGTCTGAACAATACTCAAAAGAAAGTAAATATAGAAAAAGTCTTCAACTCTGTCTATCTATAAAGCCTCTACTATTATAGAAAGATATCGGGACAAGATCCACGACATTTCGAAACTACTATCTGTAAGGTAAAGATAAAGTCCTCCGAAATATAAGAAGGCTCACCAGAGCTGATTGTACTATCACATGACCTCTATGAAACGCCTGTTGATGATACTGAATACATGTATCTACATCATGAAACGATGCAGGCCAAATGGCTCAGTACGTGAAATGTACGAGACTGCAAGGGTAATTCTAAAGCATAAACATAGGCTTGAACTTGATAAAAAGGAAACATACTTACCTCTTCTCAACTCACTCAACTAAACTAAACTCAAGAATAAGATACTCAACTCAAAGTTATGATACTCAACTTTAAGATACTCAACTCAAGATATGACTCAACTCAAGGTACTCAAGGATAAAGCAACAATAAAAGATGCATTATAAGGAAAACTTTTAAAACATTAGATAATAACTCAATCGTATTAAAAAATACAATAATAACTCAATTTGTGTATAAAAATATAATATAACTCTGTGGGAGATTCTCTAACCGATAATCATCACTATAAGCTATGTGATGATACATCGACTCGCTTACGCTGCCAGAATTGTTCTATACTTTGCCGGGGTATAGAACCTACTACTAAGTGGATCCACTAGTCTATGCTAAATAGCATTAAGGAATCATCTAAAAAGTATGACCTTTTCTGCCCACATTGGCTACATAGTTTATGGAGACTTGAGTTATCTGAACTCGTCCACATATTAGTGCTCAATACTACTCCCAAAATGTAACTAGCTCATATATTCAAAAACATAACTCTATATGTGGTTTGAGATTATTACTCAAAATCTTTCTCTTAAAAAAACTTACTCACTACGAAGGATGGTTCAAGTCTTAGCTCAAAAAATTTGATGGGGTGTTACAATATCTCCCCCTTGGGATCATTCGTCCTTGAATGACGACTAGACTGGGAATGGGGTTACCCTTACTAAAGTCTGAGTCTAATGGTATGCTCTTACTATATTCAAGCTTAACCCAAATCCGAAGGTTCAGGTTCTATACCTCTCTATAGGGAGTCTTATCCCAAAAAAAACATTACTCTTTATCACCACATTTAATCAACATTGGGCTCATATCAAGAACTACCTCATGTTTAACAACACCACATTCCAGCTTAGTATTCTAACAACTCTATGGACTCTTACTAACCAACTCCCTAAGAATTTCGTACTCTCTCATCATCTCTGCTATACCAACTAAGATTTCCCGCATTACTACTTGAAACCAACTAAGGGCTCTCATTTAACTATTTCTCATAGTAAAACCTCATTTTCTTCTTCCTCCTCATTTATAACCTTGGATAGAATTATCATACCATCATTATCATGATATGTTCATTAACCTTCTCTTTCTAACAATACTTCATTACTAAAAGGACCTCTGAAAAGATATCTCTCATACTCCTTTGAACTCATTACTATCTTATTCTTAACACTTGACTTGATTTCCAATCTTATCATCTCCCTCTTAGGTCTAAAGCTGACACTTGAAGGCTATGGACCTATTCCAACATCTCTAACTGGTCTACATCCTCTTTTACTCTAACACTCGGGAGAAACTTATGTCATGACTACCAAACTCTCCATAAGCAGGTACTATGACTTCTTTCTAAGGTGTTTCTGTTAACCTCTTCTTATTACATACCCTCTCGGTACACCTCGTAATGCTCTTTTTACTCTTGTAACTTAGCCACACTTCACTACCATTGTCAACAGGTTTAGGGTATCTCACTTGTACCACTCATATTTATTGTAGCTAATCACCTCAATTCCTCACCTACTCTATGCCAAGTCTTCTAGATAAAATCTCAACTCTATGCCAAGTCTTCTAGATAAAATCTCAAGACTAACATCATCACCCTCATGTTGCCATCCTTTTGTCAAGACACTCATCTCAAATTCAAGCTTAATGTTTATTACTAAACCCAAATATCAATCTGATTGCTCGCTTACTATACTAACTTACAACTACTAGATACAATTTAGAAACACTCATCCCCTAGGACCTTATGACAAGTAGTCAATCCTTACCTCTTAGTCTCCATACTCATGAATTACCATCATATTTGACTTCGCAACTTAAGTACTAATTACTCACTTACTGCACATTATCTCTCAAATAGTTTTATCATCCTCTAAATACCATAGGGTTTTCCCCTTCAAAATTCATCAGCCTAGCTTGGGTCTACCACCTCATCAATACTCTCCTCGATTATTTAACATATGAATTTAGTCTTCTCTAACACGATGGTACATTGACATCAACTCTATTCTGGTTAAAAATATACTCTATCTCATCATGTCTAGTAACTATTCCTCTTCCTTCTATCTAGAACTCTCTACAACAATATTAATCCTTATTTTTACTCATAAGGGAAACTTATCACTTATAACTGACCGGGTGCATGATTACAATCATATAATTTGCCCACCACTATCTCTTTTCCTTAGATTACTAAACCTCTGCATACTTTCCTCTAATCCTGGGCACTTTCACTACTACTGTTCATAACCTCGTAATTCATACTATCTTTTAGGGCGAAAATACTACCCAAGCTCTAAACATACCATCCTCTTAAAGGTCTCAGTTGAATAAGGTTTAAGGAAGAGTGTACAACTTACTTTTAGCTCAAACGCACGATTCATATGAACATGAGTGCATTCCTCTTAAACTCAACACTTAACTCACTCATCGGCTTCTCTCAGGCCCCTCTGGAGTCACATGACTTCCTCAAGACTCTTGTTAAGAGCAACTCATCGATAAAGGATTGACTTTTCTTTTTAACCACCTCTAGTATGACGGGTAGTAGAATGAATCTGAGAAACACACGAGTATGAATAAATTCTCTCACATAGCTCTATTACACGATTAAGAGTATCAAAAAGAAGTGATATAGTTCCAAAATGTTGCAACCTTTTAATTATAGATGTGGTGCGCTTCACACCGATAACTAGGACTCTACAGTTATGGCTTCATAGACACCCTAGGACTCTTGAACTCTGTGCTCTGATACCAAATTTGTCACTACTCGAGCCTACACCCTGGACGTGGCCGGCACTCAAGAACCATTGTTGGTCCCCAAGCAAACCCTCATCATGGCTGAGTACAAGATGAAGACTAACTCAAGCATACTTAAGCTTAAAATTGAATTAAATTCATTGAACTCCAATAGTGAACTTTAAGAAAGTCTGAACAATACTCAAAAGAAAGTAAATACAGAAAACTCTTCAACTCTATCTATGAAGCCTCTACTATTAAAGAAATATATCGGGACAAGATAGTACGCCATCTCAAATCTACTATCTGTTAGGTAAATATAAAGTCCTTTGAATTATAAGAAGGCTCACCAAAGCTGACTGGAATATCACATGACCTCAACAAAACGCATGTTGATGATCCTAAATACATGTATCTGCATCATAAAATTAAGCAGGACAAATGGCTCAGTAAGTGGAATGTACGAGCATGTAAGGGGGATTCTAAAGTATAAACATAGGCTTGAATTTGATAAAAAAGAAACATACTTACCTCTTTTCAACTCACTCAACTAAACTCAACTCAAGAATAAGATACTCAACTCAAAGATGTGATACTCAACTCAAAGGTACTGAACTCAAGATATGGTACTCAACTCAAAGGT